TTCCAATGCAAATATCACTTTTGGGAATAAGAATTTCTTTTATAATCTTTATTTAAATAAATGTTAAATTATGATATCTTTTGACTTATTATTTGTTACTACAAGTCAAAATGAAAAATAACATAGATTTTATTAAACTATTAAGATTAGTTAATTTTTTTGACAAATAGGGACTTACCATTGAGATTAATTAATTTCTAAACAAATAAAAGCCTTGTCTAGATTAGCTATACTTATAGTATGTAAACGACAACTAATGAGCTTTGTTGTTCGTAAATAGAATTGGATTAGTTGATTGTTCGTGATTTTTATAAGAGTGCTAAATTACTTAAGAATATCTTTCATGTTATAATAACTATTAAATATAGGATATCACCTAGCTATCAAATGTTCCTCGACAATTAAACCAAACAGGACCAAATTGCCATTTTACCTTTTGATTTACATAACATTGCATGCCATTGCCAATCCTCAATCCTTGCTTATTAGTGAGCATATAGATAAATTAACGGAGCAGACAAACGTACAGGAGAAGGCTTCTCTCCTAGTGCTACTCATCCAATCTGATACATCAAATGCTTTGGATACTTATGTCCATGCTTCCTATCATCGAAACTTTTATTGATTGTTATCTTTTTGTTTGCATCTCCAATGTCAAATACTAAGGAAATTGAATCACCGATTACCAAGAAACTGAGATTCTTATTTCATGGATTGAGCTAATCTACAGAGATGGAGCCAGACAATGAAGGTCAACATAACCTGACAGCACCGCTCGGTTTCTTTCTTTCACACTTGTCTGATATATGACCCTGCAGGTTGTAAAATCAAATTTGAGATATCCACTCAATAGGATGGAAAACTGGTAAAGTTCCATGTTGATCTCAGGATTTTGTTTATAATGGCAAAAAGAAATTGTACCTCAAGCCTTCAAGCCACATCTCAGTAACCGAGGTTTCGCCAGGGTACACGTGTAAAAGGAATCGACCAAATATGCCTTTCACCATAGTTGGATCTCCTTTGCATATGGATTTGATGATGGCCCTAACTGCATACCCTAGAATGCACAACCCATGCAAAATTGGCTTATCGAATCTGTCAACAATGGGGAAAAATGTGACCAATATGAAGCTTAAATAGGGGCATGTGGTCATCCACAAAATGGAAACTAAACCTAATACAGCCATAACCACAACAGAAGCAAATACCTAAAGGAATCATGGAAGTCATTACAGCTCCAAAAACAACTCTCATTCATACATAAAAAATAATGATGCTTAGTATCAAAAGAATGAAAAAGGATGAATTCTCTATTCCTAGTATTGCTCTGTCATTATTCATTCTGACTCGGATCTCTTCACACCGAACCGCTAAAGTTTAGAAACAGTGGGTTGCATTATTGAAATAAAGCAGTTTGCACTTTGCACTAAAAAGAGATGCCTCAACCTCAGACCAACATTTTGACGAGTGACCATTAGACATGAGGCATAGGATGGATAGTTGACCTCTAATGTCTTCTCCCAGGGGATGATGTTGAAGTAGTGGTAATGTTATTTGTCTACAATACATATTAACATCTTACTAGTTATTGATAACCCCGTACTCTGCAATTTAGAAAGACAATTACTGGGCCTGAAACTGTACTTTTTATCTTTAAACTTGAGTCATTGAAGCAGAACACAGATAATAGAAAGATAGCACTTCAATGAAAAAGAAGTTTGGCAAAAGTGTCGTAGCAAAATAAGGCACCAACCCTGCAACTTTTGCCACCATAGGATCTGCATGTAGACTATTGTAGTCACCAGATAACCTATACAGCAATGCCTGCAAAAAGAATTAAAGAAGAATGTGAAAAGAAAGTAACTTATGTTCCTTCAAAGAAAGAAGTTGACATTTGAGTCAAGATCCACAGTATGAAATTGATGCTACATGCCTGAGAAGGTTGGGTGCAATCTTCCAACACTGCAAAAGGTTGACTCTCGGGGATTCTCACAACTGAAGACTGGTTGCTTGAATAGTTTGAATAAGAATATGGATCTGATGGATTTGAGAAGCCACCAGCACCCCGAAGATAGAAAGTCGTCCTGAAATATCATCTTAGCATAGCATAGACAATGGCAGTCCTGGGTAGGACGGTTCAGAAAAATAACTCACCGGTTCATGCATAGTAGTTCGCCAGACTCTTTCTCATAACTTCTGGTTTCAAGCTCAAGAATAGCAGCTTTACCTGAAAATATAGCAAGAAGGGGGAAAGGCCATTAATATTGTATCCACAAGAGCAACAAACAACTCATCATGTTAACAAGGAGAAATTAATAATTTGCTTCACATTTTCCAACTTTTTCAAGATGTCAACAAATAGGGGAGTAACTAACAACTCTCTGTACTAAGAATACACATAGGTCGCCCAAGGAATCTTGTATTTTTTTTATCACAATCTATATGAAAATCGCTCAGCTCGAGCAGTTTAAGGATGCTAACAAGTAGACAACATTCTTGCAATGAGCACAAACCTTTGTCATGTAATCCTGCAAGACTTATTTCATTACGTAGCTGCACCCAAGAAAAGCCAGACGATTATTAACTGAATCAGCACAAATGATAATGCATGCGTGTTCATAAACTTTGTAACTTGGTTGAAGACACACACACCCACTTACACACACGTCTTTAAAAAACTAGTTATAAAACTAGTTATAATGTACAAGAAGCCTGGTTCGAAGTTTATATGGCTTTTTAAAAGATTGGCTTCTGTTTGTTTATCGAAAATAAAAAACAATCCCACTGAAATTTGTAAAACAAATATGAAGAAACTCCAAATCCAACCAGTTTGAAATTAAACCTAGACATGAGGAAGCCATAGATAATGAGATGTCAAGAGCATACGCTAGCTTTTGAAGGCAGTGGCTTGTAGATTTCTATGTATTGTTGTCCGTGCAACAGAAGACGAGGATCAAATCTGGTAAAGAATGAAAATCAGACAAGTCCATTAGTCCAAAAAATTCATTGCAAAATTACTCACTTCAATATTTGAGATTAATCAAAGAGACTTACTCTAAACCTGGCACTGCCAGATCGAAACCATTTGGCTGAGACCCAAGTGAAAACAAAGCAGCAAATGTCGGCAATACCTATTAGATGCCAGAAATTGGAATCACTGTTCTTAATATCAAGAAGAGGACACTTATAAATTTTACATAACACACTTACATAAAATTTTAATTTTAATTATTTATTTTTC